GCTACCCCACCTGTCTCTGCGACCCCTTCTTCCCTTGCTGATTCCGCCCCTCTCGCCTCCTCGGCTTTCTTCGCCACCCTTTCCGATAAATTCTGCTATTTTTGTACGTGTATTACACGGGTTTATGGGGTGGACTACCATCCTTTTGAGACCAGATTCGTTGATTGGGTGGACTGTGCCACGTGTGTCAATCGTGCACATGGTGCATGCGTTCGATACCGAACGAGTAATAGGGAATGGAAGTGTCCTCTGTGTAGAACGGACAAACTCCCTACCGAGGTTCGATTCGAGGCTGCCCGAACAGATGACCCTGGATATGACGAGAAATGCCGACGAGCAGAAGTCTGGACGGATAAAATTCTATTAGCTAAATTGGCTGGTTTACCATTGGATCATCTCACTAAGCACGACAGACGTCGAGCTACCGAAAGATCCCGGGATTACCGATGGATCAACGGTCACCTGGAAAAGCGTAAAACTGACGGATCAGGTTTGTGGTTGACGGTTCCCCATCCATTCCAGAGATATGATTGGACCCGATCTGCTCACGAAGAGCAGACCGCTCACTTCGCGATACGTGTCACTGAAGCAAGTATAGATCAGAATCGATGGTTCTGGTCTAATATACGGGATCATATACCAAATCGTCGGAATTCACTGGGCCACCCCTCACGAATCTACGAAATTCACCCCCTTTCATCTTCGCACCAATAGCCTCCCACGTGTCGATTACCGAGGCAACTCGGAAATTGCCGAAGCAGGGCGTAGAGACACGCATGCCGCGCTTAAGGCCAAGGCCAAAAGGTATGCCGATTTAATGGAAAGAGTCGTCCCGAAGCTAGCCCGAAAGGGACAGAGAATGACTGATTTAGCCCACGGGAGGCAAGTCCGTAGCTACGAGGCCCGAAATGGGAACGCCGGTCCCCAACATCAATATAAATTGGGGGACCTGGTGCAGGTACGTAAATGTGCACGCGACCGGAAACTCGCTCCCAAGTTCTCTGGTTGTTTCCGCGTTATCGAGCTCGGACCCAACGGTGCCAACACGGTGCGCATTGCGCCCGAGGCAAGCGCCAACCATAGCTCTGTCCCCATCGTCCGCCATACCTCTTACATCCGTTCCCTCCCTCCTTCTGATCTCCCTCCGTCTCCCTCATCTGTTGAAGACGAGGACGACGACGATCTAGCTTCCGCCTCGTTCTCTCCCTCTTGTTCCCATCTCTCATCTTCTTCCCCATCCTGGCCACGAGTTTCATCACAGAGCAAGCTCTTGGCAATCATCTGCTGTAGCCACGTGGCTACATATCGGAGATCCGGCAAGTTCGTCATCCGCGGCTTAGTCGTGATCTTCGACGACTGGCGCAGTTCTTCTGCACCGGGGGTGTGTGTGCCGCCGCTGCGTTCCGATTCGCCGGAAGTCCGCAGGCAGTAGTATTGGCAGAGGTGGTGGCCTTTCATCGGCGGACGGCTCCAGGAACGAGCCACGTCACCACGGTCGCTGCCTTCAGCGGCGATATCAGCGCGGTCAGCCCGCTTCGGCATACCGCGATCCTGACCACATTACGGGAGTGGACGCAACAGTTATCGACTGAGTGGCATCACAATCTTGCGTGCCCTGGGTGCAACCTCGTCCCAATGTACGGGACTGACTTCGACGAGATCCGCACCTCTGCGCGCCAACCGACAGTGGTGCTCCCCACATTCGTCCCCTTCCAACGCCCCCAATGAACCGCGCCGCTTCTCTCGCTCCTCTCTCCACCTTTGGTCTTCCCTCTCTTTTCCCCACCTTCTGGCAATCCGATCTTCATCCTTGCCTTTCCTTCTTGCTCGAGCCCCTTGCAGTCCCGCTCCTCGATCCCAGGCATTGGTGCTGCTGATTATCCAGGTTTGGAGAACTGACGTAGAGGGCGATCTTCTCGGTTTTCTTTTCGGATCGGTGCGACCAGGCCATCGCCAGCTAATTGTCCAGGAACTCATCGTCCCGCTCGCACAATTGGTCGACGACCTCTCTCTCGATATTGTTTCGCAAAGTGACGAGCGCCCAGCTCCGCACGTCCTTACGCGGACATTGGCACCGTATCTTCAGTGGACTGCGTGCTTGGAGGAACCGGGGAGTGAAAGCGCCCTGCCATCGCGGCAAGGGTACTTGAGGCCGGGGTAGAGGGTGGAGAAAGTGCGGAAGAGTGTCGCGCGGAACAGCTCGTGATGGCGACATGCGGGGATGGTTTCTGTGATTACGCAGTAGACTTCTACTGCGTTGCTTTGCTCCCACGCGGTACTAAACAAAAGGACGTGCAAACAGAACGTGGGGGTTGCGCATTGAAGGGAAGGATGGGGATGGACGGTGACGGCGAGGCGGGTGGAGTAAAAGTGACGAAAGGTATTGGGGGGGAAGGGGTTGCGAGTGAAGGTGACGGGGGTAGAGATCTGGCAGAGGGTGAGGTAATCAAGGGGACGACGGGATAATGACCGGGGACGAAGGCTGATCCCCCGCATCGGTACGTGGACGAACTGGGGGACGGGCTGAGGTGGAGGGGGAGGGGGATCGGCTCCGTCTCCGTCGCGATGTGCTCGGAGTCGTGGTTGCTGGGTCGCCATCTTCGGGCTTGGGGGGCTCTGGATCCCTGGTCGGGTCGTCGTTGATGCGCAGGTTCGCCTTGCTGGCAAACTCCAGCTGGCTTTTCCCGGCGGCGATCTCTTCCCTCTTACGTGCCGCCTCGGGATCTTCCGCCTCTGTGTCTGTGCGCGCCGCTTCTTCCAGCAAGGCTTCCCACTCCGATCCGGCTTCCTCCTCTTCCTCTTTTTCTTCTTCGTCTTCTTCCTCTACACCATGGGACTCTGCTCCCCTTCGCTGTGCTCACTATAACTCCCTTCCTCCGACGTTTCTTCTTCGGCGTCGTCCTCTTCTTCGGTGGCTTCTTCTTCTCCTGCCTCCTCGGACGTATCTTGCTTCGGATAGAAGGCGAGATTGATGAGTGCAGGGGCGCCTCAGTGCCGCAAACGGTGTGCGATGCCACACACCAATTCCCCACCCGAGACCCTGCCGTGTCCGCTGGTTCGTCCGCGGAATTCCTACTTTGCTTTTTGGGAGGGGACCTTCCGCGGTTTTCCTAAATCGGCAAGCCGGCCCGTTTCCAAAACACGGCCACCAGTTGGCGGTGGAGTCTCCCTGAATCGTGCCAAAAGCTTTCCACCCGAGTTGGCCAGAAATTCGCGGCCGGCGCCGGCCAGTGGGGTCCAGGCCTAAGTAAAAAATATAATCTGTAAGGTCCTAGGAACATCAACTGCTCCCCAATCCCCGAATCTAAGTAAATATAATCTGTAAGGTCCTAGGAACATCATTCCTAGGACCTTACAGATTATATTTACTTAGAGAGATCACATTTCTGTCTGGGAGTGGTGTGGCGAGGGGCCCATACTCTCATCTACCCCCTCCGCCCCCCGCCAGCAAAGAACGCGCAATCTACAGGCTGAGCACCCGTATCTTCACTTGGAGGCCCCTACGGGCTGCGAATTCTTGTTGTCGTTTGCACATTTGGTGAGCGGCACGGTGAGGCCCCCCCTCTTCTTGCCGGCCCCGCAATGCGGTCGCGTTGTCGTCGCTTGTCACTTGCTGTTTCCCCACGCTCCCTTCCTGTCGCCCTTCCCGTGCAGCCTCGTTGACCCGTGCAGCCTCGTTGAGGCGCTCTCCCTCTCCCTCTCCCTACTACCACTGCTCTCCGTGCCTACTGTAGCCTCTCTCGCCGCGCAAACGTTTTTCGTTTTCGTTTTCGTTTTCGGTTTCCGTTCGCTTCGCTCCGCGCTGTCCACCGCCACGGCACACGTCATATCTGTATCGGTATGTGCTCTGATCGCGCTCTCAACTCATTTTCAGGGCGACTGGCCATCTGCAAAATTCAGAATGAATTGCGAGAGGGAAATCCGTCCTGATGCATTCAGCTCGATGCATTCAGCTCATTTTTTAGGGCGTAGTTGCACGCACTACTGGCCATCCGCCAAAATCCAGAAATGTAGTGCAACAGGGTTGGCGGGTTGGCGGGTAGTGCAACTACCGTAGGCATGAATCGCAAGCGGGAAATCCGTCCTGATGCACTCAGTCAACTCATTTTTCAGGCCGTAGTACTGGCCATCGGCCAAAATTCAGAATGAATGAATCTGAATCTCAAGGGGGAAATCCGTCCTGGTACATTGCAAACGTTGGACGGAAGGCGGGTAGGGCACCTACCGTAGCCCGCCTTGTCACCCTCGGCACATTTCCAATTTCCAATCCCCGCCCGCCGAAAACGAATATCGCCCCGCCGCCGCGGGGACCCATTGCTTGCTGTCTGTCTGCTCGCGTCATCAATTATGCAACGTCTGCCACTCGAGCGCCACCCTGGCGGGCTTCGTCTGGCGCGGTGCGACGAAAAGGAGGAGGGTAGACAGCGGCGGAAGGGAGCGGCGGGAGAGCTGGTCCGCGGCTCTGTCCCTCCTTCCTCCCTGCTGCGGCTGTTGCTGCTGCGGTAGAGTACACTCCCCGCCGGCCGCCGGCGGTTGGAGGGGGGCGAGGATGCAGCCGCCTCTGCTGCAGGCTGTGGTGTCCATGACCGCGTCGGGCGCGGGGAAGTGGGCAGGCGGACGGGTGCTGGGGGGGCTTGCGAAGGGCGGGGGCGGGGAATCGGTCCGCGGTGCATCCCGACTACTATTGATTCGCGTGGCGGGACCGTGCGCGCGCGCGCGCGCGCCCTGTCAGCCGTTGCCTCGTCACGTGTGTCATCATCCCACGTCGTCATCGTCATCTGGCGTTCTTCCGCCGGCTGCGCGGCAACAGCAGCAGCAGCAACGACGCGCCGTGCACTCTCTCCCGCGTAATCACCACCTCCTTCCCGCCTCTCGATTCCTGCGCGGCGTCCCCGCACCCGCACCCGCACCCGCCGACGCCGCCCCTTCCCTCCTCTCCTCCTCCTCTCATTACTCCCACCTCTCGGTTTTCCGCTCATCTTCGGCGGGGGTCCCCGGCAGCGCGTTGTTGTCGTGTAAGGGGGGCCTGTCGCTTTGCGCCGGCAGCGGAAGCAGCAGCAGTGGCAGCTGGGCTCCGCGAGTCCTTGGCGGGAACTCCGCTGGCACTGACGTGTCTCCCCAGGACTGCGCAGCGAATCGACCCCTCCACGCGGGTTGTATTAAATCTCCCCCCCTCTCCTCCGCTCCGCTTGGTGGTCGCAACTCGCTCGCCGCTGCTGCCTTCTCCACGTTCGCGGCCTCCTCGTTGTTCTCGCGCAAGATCAGCAGCAGCGCCGTCGCGCGCGTTGCGCGGCTGGAGCCTTCGTCTCAGGCGACGTCCACCTCCTGCCGGCAGGTCCACACAATGGGTATGTACCTATATGGTGTTGCCCGTATCCCTCCTGTCTTCTTGCTCTCATCATGCCTTGTCTGGTCAGTGGTCACCCCTCCTCCCTCGGCATCATTCTTACTATCCTCTCTCTCTCTCTCTCTCTCTCTCTCTCTCTCTCTCTCTCTCGCTCGCTCGCTCTCTCTCGCTCTCTCTCTATCGCTCTCTTCCTCTCTCTCTCTCTTTCTTTTCATCTGAGGGCACACTCACGACCAGAGTCGATCGAGAAAGTACTACCGTCTTCCCCCGAACACAACTCACCCTCATTTTGGATGCACCGAACCGGAAAGAGAGCTTGTGTACATTCTCTGTCTTCTTGCTCTCATCATCCCTTGTCTGGTCACCCCTTCTCCCTGGACATGATTCTTACTATCCTCTCTCTCTCTCTCTTTCGCTCTCTCTCTCGCTCTCTTTCGCTCTCTCTCTTTCTTTTCATCTGAGGGCACAATCACGCGTGAGCGTAATGTTTTAAAGTACCAGAGTCGATCGAGAAAGTACTACCGTCTTCCCCCGAACACAACTCACCCTCATTTTGGATGCACCGAACCGGAAAGATAGCTTACGTACAATCATTAGCAGGGTGCGTTGTGTTCGGGGGGAAGAGGATAGTGCCATTGTGCTCAACGTTGTCCTCCTCTTATCGACATCCGTATTGTCCGTGTTCTTGTCTCCCCCGCCCGCCCGCTCCCCCCTCCCTCCGCCGCTCCCCAATCTAGGCTTCTTCGTTGCGCGCGCGCCATGCCCCCCCCCCGCCTGTCGCCTCTCGGTGCCCCGTTTTCATACCTGCTTTTGTGTCAGACTAGCGGGGGAACTGATATCAACACGTGTCGATCCCTGATATTGCCGTGGGTGACCTGGGGCCTCGCTCCACTACTCCGAATGTGCAAAAACGAGACTGAATCTACCGCTAGAACATGGGAAAGATACATTGCCATCTTTTTTGTCTTTTGTGCATGTGGAGAGCAGTGCAGCGAGGCTCCTATACTGCCATGCGTCGGTCGAATGTCGCACCTCCCTTTGCTTCCCCCCGTGTTTAACCATAACCACCTTTTTTTAATTTAATTTTTATTTTTAATTGGACAATTTCACGATGTATGCGTGTCATCCTTGCGCAGGGGCCATTTGCTCATTTACCCTTCTTTGTATCGTTCCAATTCGTAACGGACACCAACGGGCCTACCTTCTTCACCCGAATACAACGTACGGGCATTATTTATTGCTGTATTTAGACGGAAAGATACCCCAAATACAGCTATAATCACCGTACGTTGTATTTGGGTGAAGGAGGTACCTCAGTTGGTACACCCATGAACTGTTGAAATGCAGACCCAAGTCCGAATCCAGGTACTCTCAGATGAACAGATGAACAAAATCAATCTGAAATACCTCGGGCCGGTCAGCTTGAATGATGATGATGATATCTCAAAGGCCGTCGCCCTCTTAAATTTGAGCAGGGGGAAAAAAGAGTAAAAATAAAATAAAAAATAAAAAAATCTGTGACGGATGCCCCGTGTGTAAGCACTTTTCACTCTTCTCTCGCCTTGCCAGGCATTCCGCTCTCTCTCTCTCTCTATGTCTATGTGTGTGTCCTCAACATCTCTCTCTCCCTGTCTCTCTCTCTGTCTCTGCCCCCCCTTCCCTCTCTTTCCCGCTGTCTGTCTGTCTGTTCGGTTCTTTCTTTCCGTTTTTTTTTTTCTTCTCTCTGTGATCGCGGCCATGTGGGAGGGTCCCTTCGTCTGTGGCCTCCTTCACATCTGTCTTCCTCTCTCTCCGTCTCTCTCTGCCGCTGTTTTATTATTATTTTTTTTTTATTTTTATTTTTTTTATATATATCAAATCGCCGCTGTTTTTTGACTCTCTGCTTCGGTAAATCTCTGTTTATCTGTGCGTATCTTTCCAAAAACAGGTCCACGTTCAGGCGGTCAATTCAATCCTCTTTTTTTTCTTTTTTCTTTGACCGATCCGGTGAACGTCTCATTGCGTGGGTCCCAATGGCGTTGGACTGCTGGTTTGGCTTTTTTTTTGTTTTTCTTTCTTCCCAACGAATCTTTTTCTCTCTCAAATTCACCTTAACTAGCTACTGACCACGACCCTTAAGAAGTCTATCCAGGGGCGAGGTCCCACTAGCAAAGACGGGATTGGATTGAACGCCTGAATCTGGAAGTGTTTGTGGAAAGGTGCAGAAAATTGAGATCGAACTGCTTTTCTGCATCTCTGCTGAAAACACATCCAGATTCAGGAGCTTAATCCAATCCTCTTTGCTAGCTAGTGCGACCTGCCCCCAGGGGAACCCTGCAAGCATAGCTATTTCTCACTATCAAGGGGGTTTATTTTTCCCACCACTCTAATCCTAGGTGGTCAGGGGGTGGGGTGGGGACCACCACCACCGGTTGGTCGGGGCTCGTGTTGTTTTGCAAACATGCGTCGTTTGGTCGACGCATGTCGGGTCGTCACGCCCATCTGTTTCGCTTTTCTTTTTTTTTTTTTTTTTTTTTTNAAAACGCGGAAGTATTCATGGTACATTCACGAAACTACCCCTCTCCCCTGCTCACTCCATCAATAAAACACTCAAACGTTGAACGAACCTACCGTTGGCCTATGGTCAGATCCATTCCATACTCACCGGCCACTCCCCAGGCGCAACCTCCGACTAACAGCATACACAGTTCGTAACCTCATTGCCGAATCTGGCCGCACCATCCAACTCGCCGCACCCCAAAGCCCCTGAAACGCCTCTTTGTTCACCCGTTTTCGTCGAGGAGCGGGTGAGCTAGGCGATTCCCACTCCCGCCATCTCTACCATAGCTATAGCGCACGGATTTTCTCCGCTAACCTCTAAATCTACTAACCCAACACCAAAACTAACTTCGACATCCTCCTCATCTTACCCCAAAACGTCAGACCTGGCTCCTCCCCCGCCCGATCCTATTGTACTTCACACGAATTATCCGTTCTTCCCTGCGCTCCACCTACCATTTTCCGCGCGTGCACCTGGATCGTTTCATCGGCCAGGATCTTTTTTTTTTTTTTTTTTTTTTTTTTTTTTTTTTTTTGTTTGGTTTGATGATTTGTGCGTACCATCCTTGCACAGGGGCCGTTTTAATCGTCGTTCCTTGCACAGGTGCCTTCTTCTTCTTTTTTTCTTGTGATCTGTGTCGTTCCAATTGTAAGGGATTTGTTCATGCTCTTTCTTTTTCCTTTTTTTTTTTTTGTTTTTTGTTACATTCATGCTCTTTCTCGTCGTTTCTCGGGGAAAAAAGGGGATAATTATCTTAATCTTAAAAAAAAAGGAGAAAATTGGGATCATCCTTGATGACTGCGGGATGTTCTGGGGATGTCTCTGATTCCGCCATCGTCTTCCACCGAAGACGAGGCAACAGGATAAGGCCTTAGTCGGAGTGGTGAAATACTACATGGGGGCAGATCACCTATCGTATTGGGGACAGACGACAATGAATGTATACAAGCTAGTTTCCGGTCCGGTACAGCCATCATGAGGGTGCACAGTCCTCGGGGAAGACGGTAGTCTTTATGAACACTTCCGGGTTCTTTTTTTTTTTCTTTTTTTCTTTTTTAAACTTCCGGGGGTGTTTCATTCTGCTGCGCGGATGTTTCTCTGCGGATGTTTCCACATGGGCTGGGTCTCTGCGGATGTTTCCACATGCGCTAGAATCGAACAATGAACTAGGCTATCAGAGTGGCCGGGGACCACTTGGCCGGCCGGGCCAAAAACATGAAAGAAAAAAAAGTATATTTGTAATTTTTTTTTTTTTTTTAATTGGTAAATTGCGATGTGACCCTTTCTGCAGAACATTGTTTTTTGAGTTTTTTTTTGTTCTTTTTTTTTTTCTTGCAAGGACCTTCTTTGGTCCTTGCACGGCCGGGCCGCCCGGTCAAACAAGGTAACCCGGGCATCCCGGGCGGCCCGGCTGGTAGCCTAGGCAATGGCAAAAAACAAAAAATAATAAAATAAATCAAACAATGCGAGCCCGCTCTATGGTAGGTCCGCACATTTGTTACGTCGACTTCCGCGGTCATGACATTTCATTCGAAATGAATTGTACTGCTGTGGAACCGTTTAATAAAAAGAAAACCACCGTTACGTCACGTAGGCCCGTCGCCGTTAATTAAAAAGAAAACCACCGTTACGTCACGTAGGCCCGTCACCGTTAATTAAAAAGAAAACCACCGTTACGTTACGTTACGTTACGTTTGCCAATCAACCAGCGTGTAGGAATACGTACCGTTTGTTTAAAAAAGAAAAATAATAAAGAATCTTAAAAGAAGGAAAAGAATAAAGAATCGGGTCTCACCCCACTACTCTAGCCATGCATAAAAGAAAAAGAATATGGCGGTGTATCTTTCCATGTTCCAGCGGAGGATTCATTCTCATTTTGCATATCTGGTCGTTAGTGAAGCGAAGCCCTTCCTATATCATTTGTTACCTTGAGTGGATGAAGGAGCGTGCGGTAGGACATACCGTTTCCATTTTTTTTGGTTCATTTTTTTAGGAGTGGAAATCTGTAAGAGGGGTGGGGGGTGGTATAATCATCAAAGATATTACAATACCGGGTCGGGGGCTATAACCCCACCTCCCTCCCTCCCCCCTCGGCCTGGCCCTGAAAGAAAGGCCAAAAAAAAGAACTGGCCACGGACAAGAGAAGGATTCATCTCCCATCGCGTAGGCACGAACGATCTTCAAAGGAATTTTGGTGGATTTTTTTTTTTTTTTTTTTTTTTACGAGGAAACGTATCCCTCCATCGAATCGCCTCTATCCATCCATCCAATGGCATCTATATATTATATATATTATTGCGTTATTATAGATACTACAGTTTGATATATGCATATTTATTATTTTATAATTGTGCAAAGTGTAATTTTATATGTGCAAACAATGTTTTTTTTTTTTTTTTTTTTGACGAGGAAACGTATCCCACCATCGAATCGCCTCTATCCATCCATCCAATGGCATCTAT